CTATGAGTAAAAACTAAATTTATGCTGAAGGACTCTATGAAGGTTCAGAGTTGATTCTATGAATGTTACTCATCATTATGGGCTAGGCAGCCTTACACAGTCTCAAATGTGTACACAATTAGCATGTTAAGGATCCTGTTCCATTGTTACAAGGATTTCAACAGATTTTCTGTGGGACCTTCAAACTGTCAAAGCCCACCAATGGAAAATCTACAGTGACATGTCTAAATCATAACAAGCCAAGTATATTTAGCTTACTCCATCAAGGGAGGATCCATTGCCCCCAAACCATGGGTGAAGTAGGAGCATCTAAATCTAGGGATGTTAGGAAGAGCTTTTGAATGAGTGGTTTTTTGAATGAGAGTGTTGGGATGAGTGGTTTTAATGCACATCCTACAATATGGGGAGTTGACTGGAATAGGTATGGTTGCAGAAGTGAGGACCATTTACTGACTGGTCAGGCTCTAAGTGATATTATTTTAGCTAGAGGGAAATGTTTCTTCTTAAGGCTTTACTTAGGCCTTAGTCTATTATTGCAGGGGTTTTTTTGTTTGTTTTTTTTTTCCTTTTTGTCTTTTTTCGTGTCCGGCAACGGATCGCAACCCTCAGTGTCACGCCCGCACCAGACCGGCACCGGCAATGGGATCGCAACCCTCGGTGCCGCGTCCGCACCCCACTCAGCCAGTGAGCAGGAACCGGTCTGTATGTGGGATCCGAACCCTCGGCGGGAGCGCCGCCGCGCTCCCAAGCGGCGCACTGTAGCAGTGCGCCACCGGGCCGGCCCTATTATTGCGGTTTTTAAGTTAAGATCTTAAAGGGGATAATTGGGCCTTGGTCTGTTACTTTAATCTATGAGTTAAGATTTTCAAGGATATCAGCTAATTTCTCAATCCCCTAATTCACCTTTTGCCTCATTTTGGGTTTTCATGTACGGACACACCTTGTTTATCTAGAAGTTCTGATTCTGGTAGCCATTACAAGTAACTGAAACATATCTTCACACTTAATTTTACCTGGACTTCTATATTTGTAAAATGAAGAAATAGATCTCTTCCTGCTTTTAACATCCTATGACTTTAAGTTAAAAAGGAAAGCATATGAACAAACTGTTCACAAGAAAAGTAATAAAGACATCTCTTAAACATATAAGAAAATGCTTAGGCTTATCCATAAAGAGAAGTGCAAACTAAAACTATAAATTTAATAATATGCTGTACAATCAAAGCTGTCAGGAAAGAGACATCTTAAGGAATGCTAGCAGAATTATAAATTTGTACAACCTTAATGAAATGCAATTTGACATATGTATCAAAATTTATAATACTCTTTTCTAGGAATCTATCCTTCAGATGCACCTGCAAATGTTTGAAATAGCACAATGTATAGGGATATTCCTAGCAGCATTGTAACAATAAAAAATTAAGAACACCTAGATGTCCATCATTAGTGAACTTTCAAATAAATTATGGTACATTCATACAATGGAAATATTTACAACCATACAAAATTGGCTGTTAGAAATTAGGATAGTGGTTACATTTGGGAAACAGTGGCTGAATTAGTGACTGGAAGGGGATACAAGGGGATCTTCTGGGGAGCTAGTAATGTTCGGTGCTTTGATCTGGGATCTCATTACACAGGTATGTTCATTTTGTAGAAAACCATCACACGTACACTTATAATTCATATAAAAAGCCTTTTTTCTATGTATGTTATACTTCAAGAAAAAAAATTTTAATGAATAAAGCAGCTTCATACAGACATATGCAATGATCTTTAAAATACATTCTTACCTAAAAAAAAATCCAATTTCAGAAGTGTACATAAAATCCTACAATTGTGAAAAAAACATTTATATGGTTGCATATTCACAGACAGTCTCAAAATACAGATAGGAAAGTAGTAGGAGTGTCTGGGGTACAGATGGGGGACAAAAGTTTTCAATGTGTAACCATTTGGATTTTTAAAATATTTCACTGTACATGTGTACGTATTACTCATTCGAAATTAATTTACTGAAGTAATTAATTTTTATTAGTCTTCTGCGGGCCAAAATAAGCTCATCGCTACATAAAAATTATTCTGCATTAATCATAGGTGTTATTCTCAGACCTTACATCATAGCCTATTTACTCTCTAGGTTTAATTACATTAAACAGGCTTATCATATTCTTGAATCCAAGATGACCAGAAGTAGCAGATTAGTAGAGATAGAGGAGGATTACTAGAAGTAAGCATGCTGAAAGTTGTAGGAAAAGATAACACCTAGAAAGTGAGGAGCAGAAAAAAAATCTTAAAAATATAGATGAAAGAACCCAGTAAAAGTAAAAAATGACCTATTCCCCTGCCCAGAAAACCCAGTAAGTCAAAAAAGTAATATGGACACTTAAAAGGAAAACATATAAATATCAGTATTTTCCTATAAAGCAATGACTAATAATAAAAATAATGTTCCATTTATAGTAGCAACATATAAAATATAAAACACATTAGAATTAAATTAGTAACTGTATATAATCTATATTTTAAAATGCAAATATTTACTGAGGAAAACAAAAACTATAATTTAAGCCGACCTGTTCCTGGACTGAAAGAATCAGTTTTGTAAAAATATAACTTCTCCCCAGATTTGAAAATTACTTAAGTGTAATTCCAATCTAAATTTCAAAGGTACCTGGGGGTAGGAGGAGATTGGGGAAGATCAGTCAAAATGATCGTAAAACTCACCTGGATTAATAAATTCATAAAATTGTCAAAATATTCTTAAAAATAAAAGCATACTGATTTATGATTAACCATCAAATGTTATAACATGTCAAAAATCTTTAGTAATTAAGACATTATAACAGCAGAATTAAAGCATAAATTACTTCATTTCTCTCAAATGTTTTTTGCTAAAATCAATATAAAGAAATTACCATGAAGGCAGCATCAGAAGGTAGGTATTATCTGGTACTGTCTCCATTCAACAATTGAGAAAACTTTGGGAAACAAAAACAGATGGAGAATTGGTAAATAATTTTATAGGGCACAGGAAATAAACCAGTTTGCTACAGGGAACCCAGGAAGGACTCAGAACTATGACACCATGTGCAATGGATGATGAAGTGTTGGGCCCATTTTTAGGAGCAAACATTATCTGTGAGCCACATGGTGCCTATGGGTGGAGGATGAAGATGGCACCTGCGGGAAGTAGGGGAGGCATAACCCAAGATAGCTCCAAAAGGTTTTTATTGGTTCTCCAGTATTTCCGCACTCGTGAACCCTGCGTGTTCGCTATGCTCAACATGTTAGTACAAAATGCATGCCCGCGTGATCCTTTAATTGATTAGTTAGTTCATAGAAAGCCCCTACTTGCTTGCTTATATAAATTGCAGTGTAACGGCAATAAAATGGAACTGCCCTGACAGAACCCTTGCCGCATCTGAGTGTCTCTTTCACGAGGTTGGTGGGCAGCAGGCTCACTTTTCCCTGAGATCTCTTGGTCCCAACACCGGGGGTAATCCTGTAGGCTCCTTCTCCTTCTGGGTCTGCGGGAGGACCCCAGGTGTGCCCCCGCAATGAAGGTAAGGTGCCTCACCACAAAAAGAGAGATTGAAGGACTGCACACAGGTACTATAAATCCCTCATCCTACACATCTCCACATATCTACTCACAAGATATTCTCTGTATTAAGTTAAAAGGTTAAAAGTATTTACCCACGGTGCAGGACACCATGTGCACTTGTGAGCACGAGTGGGCTGAAAACAGAATTAATTGAAAATCCTTTTATAACACCATCACTTCCAGTCCCTTTTCCCTATCTTGTGTGCAAAACATCATCAGCCAGGAGAACCAAGGAAACTTCTGGAGAACCACTCAACATCAACCAAAAAACTCAGTATCAGACTGATATACAGGACACCCCAACAAAACAACTGGCTTCCTAATCAGTGACTCATAGTGAGGTTCTCCAGGTAACAGATTAAATATAAAAGAACATCCAAGGATCAAATAGAAAGGCCCTGAAGAAGAAGTAAATTTAAGATAAAAAGGGATCTTGAGTGAAACAAATAATGCCCAGAAAATATTATCTTTCTAAAAACTAGTATTTTCAGAAGATTGATAAAGGGCATCCAGAAATAAGCACAGTATTTAATGAAAAAGAAACAATCAGTGAACAAGAAACAACTCTTGGAAATTAAAATTTCATAGTTGAAATTTAAAATTCAATAGATAGACTGAAAGTTATACAGTCAAGGAAATCTCCCAGAAACAGAAAAAAGCACGGAGATTTTTAAAAATGTTTAACTTCCAAGGATAACTGAAATTCCAGAAAGAGAAGAGATAAAAATTGGGGAGGAGAAAATTATGCAGAAATTATATAAAAGTAACAAAATAAATTTTCTCAGAATTGAAGAATACAAGTATTCAGATTGAAAGGGTCCATCCTGTACTCAGCACAATAAGTGAAAAAGATACACAACAAGCACTTTGATCATATTCTAGTATGTCAGAGAAAAAAAAAGATTAAAAGAGGCTTGAGGAGTATGCAGAGATAGCTTCTGAATAAAAGAATGAGAAACAGAATTGCATTAGGCTTCTAAAGAGCAACACTGGATGGACCTCTCTGGTATGATCACATCATTAGGTAGCCTTACTATCTCTCTCCCTCTCCTTTGAGACAACAAACAAAGCAAAAGGAAAAATTAAAAACAAAATAGAGATTAAAAAATTTTGCCCCATTTTTTTTTCAGCAAGTTGGTGACAGACAAAACCAACAGAATTCAAAGGAAAAGCAATTAAAATTAAGAAGAAAACATAAAGAGAATAATCAGCAAAAGTATACTTCCTGAAAAAAGAGGAAATCACCCAGAAATGCAAAGTCTTTAACCCATAACTCTGAGGGAGTGCAGGGCTGCAGCAAGCTGAACTTCAGCAGAAGTCATGAGGTTGGGATACAGAAAGTATCTGGAGGGCTCTCAGCAGCATATCTCAGAAAGGTACAGCAAAAACATACTCGCTGAAGGTGAAGGGCTCCTTTGAAGCCCTTTGTCGGTAGCTGCTGAAGGGCCTGGGGAGTGTAGGGTTGGTGACAGAAACACTTCCAGATTCAACTTGGATCAGAGAATAAAAGGGAGTAGGTCTACACAGAAAATTTCTCAGAGAAGCCACACCCACCAGAATCAGTGAGTGGTCTTTGTGAGAGCAAAGAGAGAGCCTTTGAAAGGTTTGAAGCCTGGAAAGAAACCCTGAGGCCTCTCACCTCCTCTCACCATCCATGAACCCTCCTGCAAATAGCTGGTCCAGGAAAAACTATGTCAATAAAGAATAAGTGCTCAAGAAAGGCTATGAAACAGCATCAATACAGAGATTTCATAAGAAAAAATGTGAAAATTTGACAAATGCACAAAAAACATTCACATGAAAAATATTGTCACAGACCGGATGAAAATGCTGACCACACATCAACCGCAGGGTAAAATTCTTAATGAATTTTACATGAAACCTCCACGTAGGAAAACTACAGAACACGCATGCAGGAACTTATACGTTAATTTTCTTTTTGGCACTTTCACTCAACTACCATTGGATTAAAAATGTCCTTCCCATTCAGAGAACAAAAATATTCATCAATGTTCATTTTTCTTTTGACTTTCATTTTTTCTCTTTATTTTTTTCTAGAATTCAGTTTGAGGTAGAAATATAATTTAAAATTTTTTCATATACCAACTGGATTTTGGGAGGGGGAGATGTGGATCTTCAAAGAAACCATACCGCATGCTTATTTGACTGGTAGAAATTCTCTGGTTTGATGCACCACTCATATTTAGGGTGGAATTTACATGCGGGTTCTTCAGCAAGCTTCTTGTTCCATCAGTAATGCCCAGAGATGTTACAGATGTCTTACAGCCTGTCACCATACATGGCTCTCTGTACTCACTGTCAGGCAGGCTGCAGATTCTCCAACAAAATCCAATGCTAGAGTTAGAACTGAAGATGCTTTGTTTTATTACCTATGAAAAGCAAATTTTTAAAGATAGGGCAAATTTATGGCATTGTTTTTATAGTATTTTTAATAGTCATATGTTATTTTTGTTTCTACTACAATTTTTTTGCTTAAAAATACATTAATACTAGCTATTATTATTGAGGTGGGTTAAGAATTACACACTCTATTCAGGGGAATTCCAACATATAAAACAGTTAAAGTATTTTACATTTATATTTTTTCTCAAGTGATTTTTTAAAAACTTTTTATTGGGGAAAATTTAAATGACAAAGTAAAAAAAAATACCCTCCCCTCCATACATACATACTCAACAGCCATCTTAAAAAATTATCCACTATTCTATCATTCTTCAGATTATGCTTATTAATTGCATAAGTGTCTGGCAATTTCCCTAGTCTACCTTACCTCATTCAAAACTCAAAAAAAAAAAAAGCAAATGAACTAGGTCAAAGGTAGAATTACTGTGAAGCTGACAGTTTACTTGCATGGATACCTTCCAAGAAAGGAAGGTTTATTTATTTACATGTTTACGCATTTTTGTTAAATTTGCAAAAATAGGATATTTCAACCATCATCAGTTAAGACTACTGTCTCTTTCCATTTCAACTGTCCCTCCTTTGTACTTTCCCCTCCTATTGTAACCATAGAGTGGTAGTGGGCATTTGTTGGGTCTTGTTAAGGGGTTACTGGGATATATTTTTGTGCTCTGAAATCTCTTCCATGTATTGTTACATTATTGATAGAGTTTGGATGTGTTGTCCCCGCCAAAACTCATGTGGAAATCTGATCCCCAATGTGGCAGTGATGGTAGCTGTTTGAGTCATGGGGGCAGATCCTTCATGACTGGATTAATGGTCTCCCTGGCAGAGGAGGGCCTAAGTGTGATCTTGTTCTATTAGTTCCCGCGAGAACTCATTGTTTAAAATACCCTGGTACCTCCTCCTCTCTCTCTCTCTTTTGCTTCTTCTTGCCATGTGGTCTGCTTGTCCCCGCTGGCTGCCTGCTGTTTTCTGCCATGAGTAGAAGCAGCCTGAGGCCCGCACCAGATGCAGCTGTCCCAGAATTGTAAACCAAATAAACCTCTGTTCTTTATAAATTACCCGGCCTCACGTATTCTGTTATAGCAACACAAAACGTACTAATACGCAGGCCATCTGAGTTTGGGATATCTTCTAGGTATACTCTGAGTATATTCAATTCAAAGAATATACAAGAGCTTTCACTCCACAGAAAATGTGAATGCTCTGAAATCTTATAGCTCAGATATGAAAGAAACTCAGTAGATGTTTCCTCAAATTTGATAACAATCCTAAAAAGTACATTGTATTACTAATAAAAAGTTGAGAATTTGAAAAATACCTTTGTAAACTGTCAAAAATAAAAAGCAAATTCCCATCAACTATGCTAGAGAATACTCTAAATTATCCTCCTATAGAAATGGATATTACAAAATTGTCAAATGAATAGGCATATAAAACCAAAAGAAAAAAATTATTATAAGGCCATAATTAATAAAAAATTGTCCCCCCATTTTGTGATATTGTTAACTTTTAAATATTGTCAACCTCGTAGTGATTTATTTTCTTGGTGTAAATAATTATTCCAAATTGTATCTAATGATGTATTCATAATTTCTGCAGGGTTTTCTTAAATAGAGTATGCCAAATTCAATAGTCAATAGGCTCCACAAAACCTGCAACCACTCATGATACAATTATTACTATCCTTGTTGAAACATTAATAAAGTGAAGTTCAGAGATATCAATCAACTCTCCAAAGGTCACCTAGATACTAAAACGTGGAACATGATTTAAAATCACATTTGCAGGCCCTGAAACGTTATAGTAAATACAAAGAACTATACTGCGGTGTTGATTATCTGTTCATGACAAACTGTGACCATGTCAATTCACATAACCTCTTGAAACTTCAGTTTCACTACATACAAAACAGAGAGATCCTATTAGATCATCTTTAGAGTGCCCTTTTCATACCTAGGCTAATGGCAGCTGCCTTTAGCTCAGTATTGTGTGGAGGGCACAAACTCTTTACAACCCTACAATAAAAGTTGAATTTAACTGTCAAGAAGAAAGTGGGCAGCCAGTGAAGGATTTTCAGTAGAGAAGAAATATGGTAGACCTCATGTACAGGCTAACCCACCACCCATTCCTAATTCTTTCTCCTTTGTTCACCTCTACTATAGAAGCTAGGAAAGGTAAAAGCTCACATCCAAAGCCTCTCTTGCAGTGAGGATGGCCATGTTGACACAGTTCTCGCCAGTGAAATGTTAATCTACTAGAAAAGCTTCTGGCAAAGCCTTTGATATCCTGACAAACATCCAGAGTTTGCTTCACTCCTTGCCACGTTGCCTTAAATCGAGCATGTCTAAAACTGTGCCAGCCATCCTTCATCCATGTGGGAAAAACCATCCAGATAACACAATGAAACCACTGAGCTACTTAAGCAAAGCATGCAGCCATTTCTAGAATTCTTGTTATAAAAGAAAATAAATCCATCTAAACGATCCAAGTTGGGTTTCCTGCTGAGTCTGAACATGGTCCCGACTAATAAAAGTTGTAAGAATAAATGTGTCCTTTAGACTGGCCATCCCTGAGATTGTGTGGAGGACAGATTAAGAAGCGGCAAGAACAAAGGCAGGGAGACTTGTTAGGAAGCTATTATTGTACTCTAAGCAAGAAAAGTGCATCAACTAAGATAACTGCAGTGGGAGAGGTGGAAGAGACAGTGGAAGTTGGATAAAGAAAAGGTTTCAAATGTCTTCTAAGTTTCTAGTCAGAGCAACACGGGGAACAGTTTGGACCATTCTTCAAAACAGATATGGTGACAGATTGATAAATTCAGCTTTGGACGTATTCAGTTTGATATGCCTATGGGATGACAGGAAAATGATGAAAAGACAAGTAACTATGGATCTTGAAGTCAAGAATAAGATATGGATTGGAGAAACTTGAGTTTGAGAATAAACATCATACAGGGTACTGCTAACAACTATAATGCAAGGCATATATGTAATTCTAAAGTAAACATAAATAGGTAAAACTAATTTTAATATTTTATTTAACCAAATATATCCAAATAGTTTTAACCAAATATATCCAAAATATATTTCAACATATTATCAATATAGTTACTAATGTGATCATGTGCATGCTAAGTCTCCAAACTTAAAGCACATCTCAATTCTTCTGAATGCCTTTTTCATCACAAATAATTGATTTATATATAAATTTCATAAAACTCACAGGTAAAAAAGTAAACTCACATACCCAAATTGTTCCAAACATATATTTTCCTTTATTTTTCACATCCACGCTGAAAAAATCCCATTCATCTTTTTAAAGATAATTAATTTTACCTCAGACCAAAAGCATGTTTCACAAGTGTAAGATAAGTAAATTCAATAAATCTTGTGTCAGTTCAGTACTGTTAACACTGAATACAGTTACTGAGTAAACTGAAAAGCAATTTATCAATAAAGCATTTTTCAAGTTTTTCCTGCAGTATCTGCAATAAATTTATATAACTGTCAAATATAAGTAAAATCTTATGCATACTGATTCATGTTAGAAAAATGTGAAAAATTATTAATGATTTTTACTTATAAAAGTTTTTATTTCAACATAAACTCTAATTGTCTAAGTAGGATACAAGTAAGCTTTTTCCTATCCTTGGAGCTTCATATTTAGATAATTCATATGCCACGTGATATTGGGGAGAAAACAAATCAAACTGCCATTTTTTGGTCTTTGATTATGAAACATCTGGCTAGCATTCCTGTTGAAAGAAAATCTTGAACTGGAGTTATCAGTAAAAAAGTTCAGTAGAGGGGCCGGCCCGGTGGCGCACTGGATAAGTGCGCCGCTTGGGAAGCGCGGCGGCGCTCCCGCCCGAGGGTTCGGATACCACATACAGACCGGTTCCTGCTCACTGGCTGAGCAAGGCGCGGGAGCGACCCCGAGGGTTGCGATCCCGTTGCCGGTCCCCGGTCCGGTACGGGGGCAACACTGAGGGTTGCGATCCGTTGCCGGACACGGAAAAAGACAAAAGACAAAAAAAAAAAAAAAAGTTCAGTAGAACTCCTCCACAATTCCATCAACTGGCAGAATTTACAAGATCACTAATTCCATTTTCTTGTAATTTTTTCAACAATCCTATAAGCTGGTGTTAATTCATACTATTTGCACTTATATAAAATGAACATTTAACTGTACCTGTGACACTTATCATAGAGACCATTTCAGAAAACTGAGCACAAATATTCCAAGCTGTTTTATACCTGGCCCAACTTACAAACTCGGATCCTTTTAAAATTGTTAAAAAAAATTTTTTTTAGACATTTAATTCATTCTAATTTCAGATGATTAAATTTAATTGATTCTTTTTTTACCTATGAAAGGTAATTTATCCAATTCATTTTGCATTTGCTGAAATTGTCTCAATATTTCCTACTTATCTTTAAATTTTTCTTACTGCTCTGCCACAGCAAACTGCAATTGTCACTCGTGAAATCTGCAACATACCTTCTTCCAGTCTCTTTTTGTTTACTGTTCCAGTTGTACTAGCTTCTGCATCTCCACTTGATTCTTTTTCAGTATGCCTTCATTTTAAATTTAAAAATTTGTTCATATTCATGTGTAAACTAGAAAAATAATTTAATTACAATTAAAAAAGTATTTCAATTTAATTACCAGTTATGATATACACAGGTATCACTGTAATTCTTATAGTCTGCACAAAATATTCAGATAAACATGCTATAGTTACATCAATTCATAAAAAAATAATTTGTATTGAATCCATCTGTCAACATGAAATCAGTAACATGTTTATATGCAACATTAGAAATGACACAAGTTTGACAGGCACGCAACATCAATCATTTCTTATACAAGGTAACAAAGTGAAACATATGCATAAAAAAAATAGAGAAGCAGAAAAATATTTTACATTGCTTCAGTTTTTATATTTAATTAGAAGTAAATAAAAATTTACTTTCTTAATCCTACTGAACTCATTTCAAGTGCTTACTGGCCACGTGTAGAGACCACTTCCGGATAGCATAGATATGGAAATGAGCCAAAAGGCTTATAGCTTTTATACTATTTCTCTTTTATTTGATATAACCTCAAGGGCTTAGAACTTATCTGAGTCATGTTATTTTTTCGCATCCTTACTTAAAGTAAAATAGTGCAAAAGTGAAAATGGCTGGAAGTTCTGTACAGGACTTCTTGGAATACATATTTTATGGCACACTCCAGCAGACATGGGCCAATCTCTAAGACTACAGTTCCTGAAAACAATTATCACCCACTTTATCTCTTTAGAGAATGCCTTTTAAAAGTAACATGCTGATAAGAGTTTAACCAGCTTTCAAAAAAAAATTATGTATATAAAAGTTGTGCAACACATAATTTACAATTTACAGATGATAAAAACATATAAGATACTCTTTATTGTAAGTTCCATATAGCCAATTGATTCTCATAGAAGGCTTTTGTTGATTTTTGCCGAACTCTTGTATCTGTAGCCAATCTATGGTTGCAGTTTGACCAAGATTTTACAAATGGAGTTGCATCCCAATCTGCTAATTCTTTCCCCAATAAATTTATTGTCATTAAATCTGATATGTGATCTATTGTTAAACTATTTCTCACTCTTGTACAAATTATGTTCATTAAATTGAAACCTCTTTCAGCTTCAGCACTATTGATTGCAATAGTGTTAACTATCTTTTTAGCTTTTTGTATAGTCATAGGAACTGAAATATTGTTTGATTTTATATTATTATTCACAAATTCCCGAAAATCATTCAAATCAATTTCATATTTTAAAATTTCACACAAACGAAATAATTTTTTTTCACCAGCTACCCATGGTGAAGTTATTTCTTCATAAGGCCATGTAGAAGGTTCTAACAAGTCAAAATAATTAAAAATACTTTCATCATGGTTTCTGTCAGATAAAAGGCGTAAATTCATGTGTTGAATTATATTTTCTAATAACATATTCCTAGGAAGAGCATTAAATTTATTATTTTTATTAAATGGAATATCTTTAAACTTATCTGACTTAATCAAATCTTCAACTTGAGATTCATACTTTCCCATACCAATCTTTAAATTTTCCAAAGCTCTTATGGTGCGTTTGATCAATTTTTGTGCTTTCTGAATGTTAGTTGATCTTGACTGTAATGCAGTTGAAAGTAAAGAAAATTCTTCAAGAATGTCAATCATTAAAGCAAGGTCTTGTAAGAAATTAATGTTAGCTAACCTCTTTGCCAAACCAGAATAAGAATGAGAAAAATGCATATATAACACAGGGTATGCACGCCATACAGCAATGGCAGCTTGTAAACTACATGCTGCCCATCTTGGTCCCATTACCCGGCCAATTCTAATAATTTCAATTTCAAGTTCTTTAGCTACAGTTCCTAAAAGCTTGGTTTGATTTTTATTAGGTTGATGGTAAACAGAATAAATTTTATCAAGAAATATTTTAAAATGATTAATTTGTTTTATTTCAGATATTGAATCGTCAAGTGACAATTGCAATCGATGGTTTAAACAGTTCCAAATGATGATTTCAGGAAAATTTTCTAACAACTTTGTAGCTACTCCGGATTTTCTCCCCAGCATTATATTAGCACCATCAGAACAAAATGCAATTAAATTTGCTTTCAAATATTCATTTGTAAAGCCACAATCATTTAAAGTAGTCAATAATGTATTGAAAATACCCTCTGCTGTGGTTGACACCAATTCTTTTAAAGCAACGAATAACATAACAGGTGCAGGAGCTGACTGAACTGTGCACTGGAGATAAATTACTAGGGTGCTTTTCTTTGAAACTGTAGATGCCTCATCAATTAAGATACAGATTTTGGCATTCTCTTCTATAATATTCTTAAATATCTTCATCTTCATTTCTTTTGCTATATGTTCTGCTATTCTTGTTGCACTGTATCGTGTATTTAAACAATTGACCTCTCCATTTTTCTCTTGTAATTCTATTGCCCCCTCAATATCAGATAAAGGTCTATTATGTTTAATTAAACTGTAAACAGTATTGAAAACTTTTACAGTAGCATCAATATTTTTATTATCTTGTTTATGCACCAAATTAGAAATTGAATCATTAACTGATTCTTTTAACAAATCCTGAATTTTACCATGGGCTTTAGAAACATCATGTTCCCTAATTTTTTTTCGCAGAGAAGCTTGCCTAGTAGTTTTATTACTGCCATTAGGGGTTACTAAATATGCAATCCATTCCTTGGACACATGGACATGCTTTTCTGCTTTTGATCCCAAATGCCGAACTGTTGAACAATCCTTACAACCTAATTTACCTTCTTTTATTTCAAGCCACTTATACTGTTCTGTAAACATAAATGCCTGTTTTTCATTCCAACAATCTGGAAGGACAAGATTATCTATTTCTTCCTTTGATGAACACGATGGCTTTTCTTCAATGACTGGTCGTTCAATATATTCAAATTTTACTTCCTTTGACTTAGACAGTCCACAAAGACTTTTGTTCCTATCATTACTTTCTGTGTCTGTTTTCACTTTCTTCACATTTAAAAAACGCAAAAAATCACCCTCTCGTTTTGGCATTTTAGGGAACAGAATCTGAAAAATAATTTTACATATGTAAGCAAAATTCATGATAACACTTTTAAGGGTTAATGTGAAAACTTCTCTTAATGATTTCTTTATATAATTTAAAATATATATTTTAAACCAAAACACTTATCTTGAATTTCAGTTCATAACTATAACTTCACTGTAACTTACTATTTCTTGAAATATCCACTATCAGTTTTTAAAATCTTACAGCCAGCAATAGTGTCACAAAATCTGACTATGAATGGTTATCATCCAATTTGGCAGAAAGACTGGTCATTTGATTTGCAAATGAGTATAATTCTAACATGAAGGATGGGTGATATTTTAATTTACATTAATGAGTAATATGGAAGTGAAACAATAAAGACATGTATTAGAGTTCCACTTATTCATCAATGACATCAACATCTTTGCTGAATTGATGAAGATTTCTCGTATATTACAAAGCAATTATCTCAATTTTTGTACTGCATATAGTCTAGCAGCTAGAGACACATCACCCTGTTTAATCTGCATTAACATTTTATCTTTCACTTTCTTAAGTTCAGACAATCAACAAATAAATCAAGCCCTGATTTGTATTTTACTAATTACCAAAGGGTAAAAACTCCCACCATGCTTCAGCAACACACTACTATGTAGTATTTTTACTGTGTAGGTACAATAGATACAAATAACCTCAAGTGCACAAATATTAGGAAATGATGAGTACTAACCTTAAATGTAATAATAATTTCTGTACTTATACGTGTATATACTTTTAATTTTTAATAATTGCTATGTTTACAATTGGCTCACAAAATTCCTGAAAATTCAATAATCAGTTCTTGCAAGCCAGTTCAAGCCACCTCCAGTACACTATTTCACTTAATGACAGAACTGAAAAACACAAATATGATGTGCTTACATCACTATGATAGGTACTAGGCTCTTCGTCATCATCACAGACCAAATCAATGTATTCAAGAACAGGTCTTGATGGTCCTTCCTAAAAAGGAAATGAGCAAATTTACAAGTCATGAACAATCCTTCAAATTAAACCTGCATTCACAATTAGTGGGGTTTTTGTTGTTGTTGTTCTTGTTCTTGTTGGAATTGGCAAGTATTTCTCTGAGGAGGAAATCTTCTAAGTGGTACAGAATAATCAGAAACAAAAGAGGTACAGGGAAGTACTTGATTATGTAATAATGACAAAACCCCCCAAAGAGCCTAAGTCTACGTGTAGGGATAAAGCCATGTGGATTCTTTTGGGAATGGGAAATAAATCTTCTAAGTGGTACAGAATAATCAGAAACAAAAGAGGTACAGGGAAGTACTTGATTATGTTATAATGACAAAACCCCCCAAAGAGCCTAAGTCTACGTGTAGGGATAAAGCCATGTGGATTCTTTTGGGAATGGGAAATAGTACAGAGATAGTATTAAAATGACACAGACTTCATAGTATATTTTTAAACTGGAATTGTTATCAATAATCTCCTAGATATCTAAGCTTCAAATCATGGAGTTCATCAAAAACTCTGCTTCATCCTCCACATCCCTATACACTCAAATATCAAACTCTGAATCTTCTTGGTCCTTTCTTTACATACATACAGACTGAGTATCCCTTATCCAAAATGCTTGGGCACAGAAGTGTTTCAGAGTTTGGATTTTGGAATATTTGCATATACCTAATGAGATATCTTGGAGACGGGACCCAAGTATAAACACAAAATTCATTTATGTTTTGTATATACCTTATACATATAGCCTGAAGGTAATTTTATAAAATATTTTAAAAGATTTTGTGTATGAAACAATGTTTTTTGTACACTGAACCATCAGAAAGCAGAAGTGTCACTATCTCAGCCTGTCATTTGGATAATCTGGTTGTTTGGGATCACCATCATTCATGATTCTGAATTTATATGCTACCAATAAGCAATCATTTTCTTACACTTACTCACACATAAGTACTTAGTGTGACATATCATTAATACAGTAAAAAAAAAATAATGTGTTCGGTGTGGGATTTTCCACTTGTGGCACCATGTTGGTGCTCAAAAAAGGTTTGGACTTTGGAGCATTTCAGATTTTGGACTTTTGCATTAGAGATGCCTGGGTTGAAAGCCTAGATTTTACTCTATACACAAAAAAAATCAATAAATAATACTGAAATCGGAACATTATTAGAGCCCTGTTTCAAGACCAATCATATAGGAGAGTATGAAGTGTGGGAAGAATGCAAACAAGGTAATCAATCTGGACAAATGATAATGTAGTACTAAAACAGAGTGATAGTAAGGAGAACAGTGAGCAAGTACATTTCTCTCTATATATACTATATTTCAATAAAATTTACATCAAAGATAAGGGCTCTTTTGTACCCCCAAAGCTTTATCATTCCTTTCTTTCAGCAAACTGTGTTTAATTTGGGGTTACAAATGGCAGAACACAAAGAGAATCCTGCGCCATAATGCAGACCAAAGGCTAGAAAATCAAGATTTATATGAAAAGACTAAAGAATCCAAACCAGAATACATCCAGAAGTAATACTAATGTTCTTTTTTGTATCTGGAGAACCCTCAAGCAGAGAACTATACCCAGCAGCATTTTATCTTTACTGGATGGTGCTATGAAAAACACACAAAAATAAGCATATCCTGGAGCAGCCCAGTATAGGAAAGGGTTACAGAGCAAAGTAGTAGATTCTGACTCTGAATGTATTTTAAAGTAGAATTAAATTATCATTGTCTCTTATGGGGCACCACTTCAATGCAATAGGAATGTTTTTACTAGGTTATTTTGGGTACTGCAATTCCATTCAGAGCATGCAATTGACTTCTCGATATGGAGCTGTCAAACCTTTGATCCTCTAATTGGAACAGGTTGAAATATAAGACATTCTATAAAGCTGGACATATAAAACTTTGTATACAAAAGTATAATAGATTCTCTATATTTAAGATAAAATATAAATTGAGTTTTAAACTTCAGCTGAACAAAAGCTTATATAGTACCTTAGTCAGAACTTACAATAGAATTATTTATTCTTCAAGGTATTACACAAACTTATACCATTTATTTTTCCAACCTTAATTTTCTAGATTCCTTCTGTGTTTTTCCAAAGAAGGCACATAGGTAACAGACAATGTGTGTCACTCCTATTTATAGTTGCACAAAACAATAAGATCATATTGTCACAATCATTCCTGCTTTCATACCATGGTCAGGAAGAACCAACATTATTTTTCTTTAAGACCCATGGATTCTCTTCCCAAATGTTTTTCAGTATAAAAATAAAATCCATGGTTGATTTCCACAGTTACATTGCTTTCTCATCACAACAATGAAGGCAGAATCAACATACAACCTTCTCTTGGTGACCTCAAATTTATAAATGCTCCAAGTGTCAAGAACAGAGTACCATACACAACATTTGGAAAGAGTATCAAGAAAATGATTTTGTAAAGAATTCTACATAATCCAACTAGAACAAGCAGCAACAATGTTAACACCACAATGTTTAGAAATTTTGTTTGATTTAAAAGATAAGTTATTTACAAAGTCACCCTAAACCTACAGCAACTAAAAAACAGTCATTAGACATGTTCTATTAAAGAAAAATTATACAGTTTTAGTACCAAACTTCGATTAATGACAGAAATCAGAGTGTTTGGGGGTAGAAATTAGTTTTTTAGTTGGCTAAGACACAACTTTAAGCACAGCTATTGTAAAACTTTAACAGTTAATGATGATCATCCCAAAATACACAACACTCTTCTGTTTTCAAAACCAATGTTTTCCAAAGTGTGTTTGGAGATTCACATGTCCCTGCATATTTTCATTTTTATTTTTTAGAAACCTTACTTTTTGTTTAATTTGTTTTGCCAAACACAGTGAAAACTTTAATTGTACAGAAAACAGAATTTGTAACCAGTAGCAAACATAACAGGATAAACCTAAGTCCATGGCAAGCTGGACCCCCATCAGCAGGTCACCCATATCCCTTCGTAAATGGCTTCCTGGGGAGGAAGGTCCTAGGAGGCAGAATCACTGCCTGTACCTGGGAAGGAAAAGCATGAAAAGAACTGATTTCATTTGGATCACTTATCATTACATACAGAAGAGTTTTCTCTCATTGCTGGCCAACTATAAGGTGTAGTTTTCCCAAACCCATAATCGCTGGGCAACCCACCTGCATTCCTAGGGGTAAGTTTTAAGTTCAGTGGTTCTGAAGCTTCTGCTTAATCAGAATCTGTAACATAAACTGGAGAGGGAGGGTAGACAAAGTCATAATTTCTGGTGTCACCAGTGCAGAGTCTAAGGCCCAGACTCCTGCTTAAGGAGAAAACAAGTGAGGATGCCAGACCATCAGCAAGAGTCCAACTGCCTAAGCCTTAGTACTGTCAACCAGTGCCCCAGGAATACAAGGAAGTTTAACAGCAGCGTGAGGTCCCCCTAGGCTGGAAGGAATCCAGGAGTCCCGCAGGTCACAGGGAACCGGTGCACATTCCATGTTTCTTTCAGACAACAGCCATGGCAAGCGGCAGATTCTTGTCAAACAGTTCTCTGAGCAGTTTGTCCTCGGTGAGATGCAGGTGGCGGATGCTCCCCTTCATCTCTTTCACCTTCACTTCCGTCAGCACCAGGATGTCCAGCTGACCCTTCAGCTTGCACAGGAACTCCTCCTCCGTGGTGCCTAACGACAACCGGAACGAGTGATCCGAGCCAGTATCAGGGAAGCCCTCTCCCCTTACCACCACCAACAGGGAACCCACAGGGCACTTAATGTCCTCCAGCCAGCCGTGGCACTCTTTAGCTCCAACACGACGGTGGCCCGTGGTGGGCTGTTAGCTGGAGAAGCACCCACTGACACTGGCACCACATGTCCCTGCATTTGCTCCAACATGTAGATTCCTAGGCCCCACCTTGAAATTATGATTCAGGAGGTCTGAAGTGGGACCCAGGAATCTTTTTACACTTACTAATGCTTAAAAACTACTGTCCCGGGCCGGCCTGGTGGCGCACTGGAGAGTGCACGCTTGGGAGCGCGGCGGCGCTCCCGCCGAGGGTTCAGATCCCATGTGGAGACCGGTTCCACTCACTGGCTTGAGCGTGGTGCGGGCGCGACACCGAGGGTTGCGGTCCCGTTACTGGTCAATGAAGAAAGACAAAAAGGAAAAACAACAAACAAACAAAAAAACCCTACTGTCCCAAAGGGGATAAACTCAGAAAAATATAGTATGATCCTGATGCAGCATTCTTC